TCGAGATTCACGTTTGATTTCCAGGGAAGAGCAACTTCGTATCGGGAACCAACTCGTTTGATGGTCTCCTCGAAGGAGTCTAGCTGCCGTTGTTTTGCCGAGTTCACTCCTCCGTCTTCAGTCACTCCGATTGACTCCAGTGTCCGAAACCGCTCTAAGCAGTCTGTTGCTTCAGCCTCTGCCACGGATGTCTTGAGGGCGATCGTTTGCGTACATTGTACGTCGTGAACTGTTGCTTTCACGGAGCCTTGGATACTCCATCCGAATGCGGTCTCGACCGCTCTTAGTTTCTCTTTTAGTGGTTTGGATTTCCCCGTCACAAGGTCCCAGTAGCGCTCTGAGCCGATGAGAAGGTGAATATCACCATGTTGCTTGTTGCTAGTCGAGTCGGCCATCTTCAATTGCCCGAGTAGTTTCTTCAGGTTGGTTTCGGGGATAGGGATCTTCTGATCGCACATCACTTCCGTTTCAAGAACTTCAAGCTTATGTATTTTGCCGTTTTGTGCCGCTAATGAAACCAGTACCCTGTTAAATACTCGTTTTGATTGGTGTGGGCCGAATACTCTGACGGTCAGTGTCTCCTGTCCCAAGATCTTGCACTCGAGACGTTCGGACGCGTTCTTTGTAATGAACGATCGTTTGCTCCCTCCGTCGAAGAGAGCTCGGACGAACATCCCGTTGGTTTCTCCTGCACACCAGATTGTTGCAGTCTGGAGAAGGACAGCTGGCCCGGCAGCTTCGCCTGTGGCGGTTTCCACATTCACTGGGACGCTCGTTATCGCATTTCGGTTTGCTTCTACCTTGGTTGACGTGTAGCCTGGGTCGCACATCGTTGTCGCATGCCGGCTCGAACACTTGGTGCATTGCATGCTGCTTCTGCATTCATTCGAGCGGTGATTAGGTTTCATGCAACGCAAGCATTGTCTCTCCAAGCGCAGCAGTCTTTTCTTCTCTTCGATTGAAATGTCAGCAGAACAGGCAGCTGTCGTGTGGTTTTTTTCTTTGCAGAAGCAACAGCTATCAGGTTTCGTTGATTGATGCAGTAATGCTGCGGAGGATTGATAGCGTTCTCTGGGACTTCCCTTCTCGTTTTTCTTCTCTGCCCTTAATCCACGCGGCTGTTGCCTCGTGTCCATAGCCTGTTGTGCAGCTAGGTTCTCGCGGCTCTGGACTTCGACTCTGAAAAAGGCAAGCAGTCGTGAGAATAGTGTCACGATACCTCGTTCAGTGGTGCTTGTCTCCGTCAGTCGTTCCTGAGAGTCCTCGGATCTCGTGGACATCCCTCCGGCTGAAGCGTCCAGCGTCGATACGTTCGATGCTTGCTCGTTCACAATCGTTCTGTTAAAATCCAGCAGAATTTCCTTTGGCAGTGCACGCTGAACCACAGGGAGCAAAAGAGCACCGAAGGTCTGATGTCTCTGTCCGAGTGCCTCCAGTCCTCGGAGATGGGAGATGATGGTGTCGTAGAGTCGACGAAGACCCCGGACGTCGTCGGCGTCTCGCACTGGCTGTAGATCTAGGAGCTTCCGCATGTGTGTCTGAACGAGGACGTCCTCATTTCCGAAGCGTTTCTTCAGCAGAAGCTCGGCGTCCTTGTATCACCGTGATGTGAGAGGCAAACCCCTGATGGCACTTGACGCCTCGCCGTTCACCGCAGCGCTGAGGTACCCGAACTTGTCCAAAGTCGTTAGGTGGTCGTTGGTGTGTATTACTTGCTCAAACTGCTCCCAGAACTCTTGCCAAGAGATGCTTTTGCCGTCGAACTTGTGTAGCTCGAGCTTCGGGAGCTTCACTCGGCACGCAGTCGTTGTCGCGTTTCCGTTGCTGCTCATCGGGGATGAGTCCAAATTTCGTAGTGCCGTTGCTCGGACTTCCTTCAGCTTTTCCTGAAGTGTTGCAATGCAGGTGACGACCCGATCATTGTATTCAATTGTTCGCACAAAGTTTTGCTCAGCTTCTCCTTCCGGCACCAGTGGCTCGATGGCGGCGTCCACCTCGTTCAGTTGGGTTTGGAGGGCGCCAAGCCTTGCGGAGGAGATGCTGAGGTTCTCTTCGTTTTTCTCATTGCTTTCGATGTACGAATCAGTTTCAGAAAGGAGTTTGGTCACCTGTGTTCGCAGTGCAGTTCGTTTCCCCTTGAGTCGTTCCATGATCCAAAGCTCGTTTTCTCAGCCGTTGGCGAATCCAAGATTGCTATCCAAGATGGCTCCTGCCTTCTTCTCGTTCGTCGTTTTCACTTTTCAGTCGTTGGATGTTCTGTGTTGAAGTCATGTCCTAGTTTCCTTCAATCCCGGGTTTCGGCACCAACTTTTTAACAGTGTGGAATTAGGGAAAGGACTCGTTGGTTTTTAGAGTAACGGAACATGGTTTATTATATTGAAAACTCATTTAAGTGAAGTTAGAGAAGGCACGTCTTCCTTCGACTGTCGTTCCGACAAGAAGGGCCAAGTCGCCCGCACCAAGCGTCGGTCCAAGAGGGGGGCTCGTCGTTTATGACCCCACGGTGGGGCGCGCTCTCCCCGCGGCTCTCCGTCCCTCTCTCCGGTTTCCTGGAAAGGGGCTGGTGCCTCGGTTTCTGCTCGTCTTCGAAGTCGTTTTTCCTTCCCTCTTCCCGGTTCGGGCATCTCCAGCGTTTTCTTCTCTTTATTTTACAACACGCCTCGATGGACTTTGCTACATTCTGCCTCTCTCAAAGGAATGAATGTTCGAATGATTGGCACCTCGCTCGGCGCGACGTCAGCGTCGCGAAAGTCCAATTAGCGCGTTCCGCAAACTTCGGGCACAAAGTTGTGCTTGACGAGTTTAGCGACCCTCAAGTATTCCAATTACTTTTACTAACAAAAAAAGCATTGATAATTTTTATTCTCGCAAACGAGCGAAAATAATTTCTAGGGGCCATCCTAAAAATGTCTAGCTTAGAAATGCCGTGTTCCCAGAGAAAATCAATCTTGAGAAAGCCATATCTGAAACTCTTGTTCTAATTAATTACGTAGTTTTCAAACTTGTGCACAGCTACAACATCCATGGTGTTAACTGGCCATGGGTTCATGTTGGTTTAGGGCTGGCAGTCGACGTCTGGCTGGGGGGAGCTTTACAGACACATATGTTCTGTTAAAATCGCACTCTTGCATTCTAAGAGCGTACGGTTCAGGTTCTTTCATAGAAAAAAACTAGCAGAGGGCGTGATGGTCAGGTATCAAAATAGCAAAGCAAAGCAAAAACCAGGCAACCAAACAGATACGGTCAAAGTTTGGTGACTGTCCAGACAGCGGCTAAACACACGCGTTCAATGAGGGTAGCGTAGAAATCACTCAGTTGTGCCGTGTCTAGTGCTGGTAGAAAGTAAAAAAACAAGTTGTTTTCCTTAGAAGGTACTGTTCTTAGTTTTATTGCAATATCTATTTTTTTAATAGACCCACCGCGTACATGTTGATGTGCAACAAAAAACGCATGCGCACGCGGGAATGATTGAGGAATAAATAGATTGAAAAGAAAAAATAAATCTGGATGTCCCCCAAGGGCAATAATAATAAGAAGAAGAAGAATCTGTTTATTTAATGTGCCCAAAACAACCATGCGGGTCTTCACATTGGCGCACACAAGACAAAAAGAAGAAACACAGCACACGCAGAACTTAGAAGTACAGGCTAGAATGACTACAAATGGGTTGCACACTTCACACAAAATGTAATAGAGTTCCACTTTCAACCAGACTTGCCAAGTTCAGGCGAAAAACTGGGAGATCTGTGAAGATGTCCAAGCTAGAAGATGCGATTGTATTAAATGAAATTTGCATACGGGACAGTGGTGAGAGTTTAGACACGAATTGAATAAAAAGACACTACAATTTCTGATAACGCGACAAGGAACATGAAAATCGACTGAAATCAGAAGTTGATTAGCATCAGTCCAACCATTTACCACCCTGTGCAAAAAAAAAATCAGAACACGCTTGAATATTCTATTTGACAAAGACTTAAGTAAAATGCTCTTAAGAACAAATTCATAATCATAATAAAAGCGACGCTGAAAGTGTCTATCACATAAAATGCGTATCATTCTTTTTTGCACTGATTCAATACTTAAAGACTGTACTTGTTAGAGAATTCCAAAAAACAGAGGCGAATTCAAGCCGTGAACGATAAACAAATCATACAAGCAGGACCTTTGAGCTTTTTAATTATACGGGATATGATACCAAGAGTTTTCATCGCACGGCCAACTCTACCTTAAACCACCATGCCAAGTGGGATACTTTCTTCGTTGCATAGGCCAAGGGGTAAAATTAGGAAGAGATATTTATTATGTGTCCCTTTTATACCCTTATCGCGTGCATGGACAGGTCGCGAGACGAGGCACTTATTGGATGTGCCGCAGTCTTCACAACACCACGCAAGACAAACATGTGGTCTGGCGAGGTGGTAGCTAAATATAAGGGGCGACTTGCTGAGCATAACCGTTTGTATTGAATGAAAATATGCGAAAAGTTGACGCTCAGTTACCCTCTGTAGGCTTCGTCGAAGTTTTATCAGCGGCAAAATTTCAGTTAAACGTACAGCGCAGTGATGTCGAGCTGACGGTCCCAACTTTTATACGAGGGGCTTGATAACTGTGCGATAGAACTCATTATTAGCTAAAGTGCGCATCAAAGACAAGAGAGAAAAACATACTGATGCTTTCAAGCAGGGCTAAGAAAACTCCAATATATATATATATATTTTTTTTTTGTAGTCAATAACACACACATTAAGGTATTTCAATAAGTTGTACTACTCGGCTATTAAGCCGCTAGCGAAAGCTGCTACCGTCGGTTCGACGCCAGTGCGCTTTTTGTAGTAAACTGAAGTTTTGGGGTGTATTATACGACACAAAGAGCGTAAGACTACACCCCCCTTTTTCTGAGAGTATAGTCGGTCGCCAAACACTGCAGAATCTCAGGCCCCTTCTTTTATTCACAGAAACCATTTTTAAAACACAAATCGTAATTAAAAAATACTTCAAGGTTTTCACACAATTTTATTACTATAAAACCAACACCAAGTCTATCTTTGGTACTAGTCGCTAAAGTTTGCTTTTTCATAACTAGTTTTTTTTTTTCCTTCCACGCACTGCGGACGTAAGATTTCTTCTGTAGATGTCACACGGCACGAAGTGCTGCTGCTTATTGCACTTGTACTAAATCATCCGCAGTGTTTAAATGACTGTCTTAGATACTATATACTGGTTCACATTCGGGGAGCAACCAAAAACAACCTCGAAAGACACGATGTCGATGGTTGGAGCACGAGGTCCGAATCCGATACAGAGACGGCAAGCGTATTTGCAGAAATGATTCTGCTAATTGCTTCCGCTAGCGTCGCGTGATTCAGCATTTTCTGTTTCATTTATCTTGTCGCAGTCTTTCTTGTCATAAATTCGGTATTTCGGATATCCGCAGTTGAGTAGAAAGGCGTATCGACAGCTGGACGGAAGTTCCTTAAATAATGAATCGTACAAATATGTAGTTTTATTCGCAGTGCGAGGCTCCTCCTCGCATTGTACGCTTTCCTTTCTTTCATAGCTTTCCTCTCTTTCCTCACTTTTCTCGATTTCATCGCTGTCTTCTTTTTCTAGGATTGTAACGACTTGAGGAATCGTCACATTTTTCTTCAACCAGTCTTCACTCAACCAGAATTCACAAGCTGGAAAAAAAAAAGAGCGATATCTTTGTGACAAAGGGCAGGCCGGGCATTTTAGTAAATAACAGTTTGCTCTGTATAACTATTAAAGACAAATGTTATAACGGAGTAAATATGATTAGGAGTTTACTTAACCTGAAAATGTAAAAAAAAAGAATGAAGTGATTCCTTTTAAAATTTGCACAAGAACAAAATAAAAATGCGATTCAAGTTTCACGAGCGCAGTGTAATCGTTGAAATATTATTTCAAACGAATGGCACTGAGCACCTCAATTATTTTTGTCTTTTAGTTTAACTTTTATGTTCGTCGGTGTAGCTTTCGTTGTGAGCTTTTGCGATATGCAATGCGGCACTATATCAACAATGTTCTAGTTTTTTATATTCCGAACGAGTTTAGTCAGGAGCACTTTAATATTGGACTGTTTTTATATATAATCAAAACAAATTTTGAGCGAGATGACTGCCGACTGCTTCCCCGATGAACATGCAATAAAGGGTTTTAACCCCGTAATTTGAATATGTTTCTCTTTTTCTTTTGCAAAAAGAGTGCAGGTGAGTGGGGGGGGGGGGGGGGACCTCGACATGATGTCAGAAAAAACCAAAAGCCTTATTTTCCATCCGTGACTTTTTGTCTAGGTAGAAGTGAAATACAAAACTCGGAATACACGCTAGTACACACGCCTTGACCACTCGTCTCCTCTAATGAAACTGTTTTTACTGTTTCATTTAGGCCGTTGAACTTTATTATTTTGATAATATGTTTTATTCTTTTATATATCCTGTTCTTTTACCAGAAGCCTAAAATATTATCTGCAGGCGGGTGGCTCCGAATTCAAATCTCAATGCTTCATGACCCGTGAAATTCGACGCTGGCGATATACAGGGTGTTTCACTAAAGGTGAACAAATCCGATAATGCGAAAACTACGCATCGCGCCGAAAAACGGCTTTTGTCGTTTTGGTCCGAGGCCAGGGGACCATTTAGGAAAATTATTAAAGTTCGGGATAATTAAGTTGTTTATTATTTTTGTGTAATAAACTTTCTAATATTGTGTTTAAGAGCACGGTTCAATTAGAGCTTTGCTGACCATCATCGAAAAACACTAAATTAATAGATTTCAGAACAATAAAAGGCACGCGCGGTATTTTACGGCTTTCTGAAAAACCGCCCAACATCGACAGATTTTTCCGTTTAAGTTTGCAATCGGAGCGCTTCTCGGCCCCGACGGCACCGCGCCCCGTAGAGAAAGAGTGCAACCAACCTCTGCTGCGCTGTCCTCGCCCAACGCAGCAGAGGCTGGTTGCACTATTTCTCCACGGGGCGCGGTGCCGTCGGGGCCGAGAAGCGCTCCGATTGCAAACGTAAACGGAAAAATCCGTCGATGTTGGGCGGTTTTTCAGAAAGCCGTAAAATACCGCGCGTGCCTTTTATTGTTCTGAAATCTATTAATTTAGTGTTTTTCGATGATGGTCAGCAAAGCTCTAATTGAAACCGTGCTCTTAAACACAATATTAAAAAGTTTATTACACAAAAATAATAAACAACTTAATTATCCCGAACTTTAATAATTTTCCTAAATGGGCCCCTGGCCTTGAACCAAAACGACAAAAAGCCGTTTTTCGGCGCGATGCGTAGTTTTCGCATTATCGGATTTGTTCACCTTTAGTGAAACACCCTGTATATGCAAATTCCATAAGCTATTGTGCTTTCCGGCCTATTGCTACCTTGGATGCATACTTCATTTTTTTAGGGCAAGAAAAAACAAAACAAGAATATATATATATATATAATATATATATATATATATATATATATATATATATATAGATTACCATTGGACGAACATATTAGCTACACAAGCGCCAGGACTGCAATTCTTCGCTACGTTCGTGGCTGAATGGTCAGGGTCTTTGGATCTAGGCAGTTTCAGCACCCAGCCCCTTTTTAAGCTTTACTCGACCGGGTGGAATGTTCGAGTCCGTGTTGTACGGAACGGCGTTCCTAGAACGCGTTCCTTTTAGGAGGAACGAAGGAACGCCGTCGTTCCATTTTGAATTTCTGGAACTGGAATGGGAACGCGTTACATTTTTACTGGAACGGGAAGAGTAACGGCGCTCCCTTTTTTCGTCCAGTGGGGTAATGTTTTATTCTATTTTGTGGGGGACAATGAGCAGCACTGCACGTAGAGGGACGGCGCCGTGAGGGAAAAAGAAGGGCGAATATCGTGGTGTGTGCGCGAGGACACAGAGTTCCAACGAAACGGTGCTCAGCGAGCCCAGGGAAGACCCGGACCACAAGGCAGCCCTGGCCCTCCGCAGCACCCGACTCACACAATTGAGTATCGATACAGTATTTCTCCATGATAGCATTTCCCGTGTGACTTCCTCGGAGTGAGTGGAACTCGGCCTGATCGGGCGGTATTGATAGGCGACGCACAATTTTTAACAGGAAAATTTTGGAAGTACAAAAACAATATTTTTACGAAGTGCAGGATCTCGTCAACTTTTTTGGCTACTAATATTATGGATTATTTTGAGTGGTCCTCGTTTGCTAGCAGTTTAAGGTGCAGAAGAGCTGGTGGAGATTGATCCTTTTTGGAGTGCCCGAAACTGCGGTATACAAAGTAATACTCTTAGTCGTAGGAAAAGACAAAAAAGTAGGGTCGTTTCAAACTCAGCCCCTTTCTTTGGTCCCGCCAATCCTATACACCCGGAAATCTAAGGCCGGCTACAGCCATTTCTGAACTTCATAACGAGACCTACAGTTACCACAAAATCACAGGTTGCCAGACGTCAAACTCACCCTTGTATCCCAAACACTAATCCCTTATAAATACAAAAAAAAATTTTGGATTGAATAGCAAATTTAATTTTCACAAAGAACTACTTGTAGTTTTCAAGACTGACCTTCCAAAAGCCCTACCTTCTTCTTCACTTGGTCGTCTTCATCGAGATGCAACTATTGTTAAGTTCTAACAAGGTACTTTGTTGAATTGAAACGTTTGAGGTTGTTGTAAAATGCTCATGCAATGTAGGGTAAAATTACAATCGGCTCGTCTGAATCGTCCACTACAAGCATGAATATAGTTAAAAGCTAAGAGTTTTAACTGAAATATATCAACAAATGAAACCCTACTCCCGCTTGTTTTCTTCTCCCGGTGCCTTTCCATCACGACGTACAAACTTGTATACTGCCTAATAAAAGGATAAATAAAAAACTATGCTTGATTTAATTAAATATGGTAATCATCAAAATACAAATCTAACGTGTATGTAACGGTTTTTTTAAACTATAACGGCAACGAGTTCTTTTTTCACAGATGTAACTTGTAAGGGGAACGCGTTCCAAAACTCAGAAGAAACAAGAAACGAGCTTTCGTTTTTTTTTTTGTTTTTTTTTTTTGAGGAACGTGTACAACACTGGTTTGAGTATAGTCACGAACCGTTGATCTTCCGTGAAGCGCACCAGACTTTTGTGTGACTATAAAAGGAGCCATATAAGTTTCCGCAACAAGTCAGCCAAGCGGTATTGTGCAGTCCTGCCTGCCACTGCGACAAAGACGCCTCCTATAAACCTTTCCAATAATCGCCTTTGCGCGCTGCCATCCTTGTCTATTAGCTGTCGAACGTGTTCTGAGCATGCGCAGTAGCTCTCTTCTGCGGAATATCTGACGGCGCGAAGGCGTCCACAGCCCAAAGACTCGGGATTTTTAGTCTCTGTGATAGGCGGTGGAAAAGTCTATTGTTTTTAGCTTTTATGGAAGAGGGCTCTCGCCTCATTCGTGTCACTTCATCCTGAAGATGCCACCCGCGTAAGTAGCGAAACGTCTTTCAACTGGTTACATCTTTGTTGTGCTAAGTCGGAGTAAACTTTTTAAGCATGAATTCTCACGGCATTTTGAAGCAGTTTTCCACCAATTAAAAGCTTAGTTATCGGTTCCTTGACGCCACGTGACTTAAAAAATGTTTGAGCTGGTATTAAGGGCGAAACAATTTTGAATATTTCGCAAAATCTTATTTGCATTCACTTTCTTTTTTTGTGTGTGCCTGGAAAATGTTTTTATCAGTTTCCGCAGTTGGCGAAATGATTTCATTATACCCACATTCATAGCCCTCGTCATCTTGTAATGATCTCACTACATAGCACAATGGAGTGCTGAATAATACGTATTTTTCTGAATATTTAGTCCAGCGTTTTTGCCAACATTCCTGGTGATGTATGCGGCAGCCGCCTGATTCACAGAGGAAGTTGAAATTAAGATTGTAGCAGGTTCCGTTTGGTGATGTCACTTCACGCTGAGGTTGCCCTTAGGAGAAAAAAAAATAGGAGAGAAGTTTATCTTTTGTTGAATCAAGCGGTACATTGTAAACTGGACCCGATACACTCAATGGGTTTTAAGCAAGACCAGGCGTGCGACATTAACGCCAAACGTTAGACAGAGCAAAATAATATAGAATGTCGCAAACCGCTATAATTGCAGTCCACAATAAATTGCGTCAGCAATGTATGTTCCAACGGCAATAAATGGCGTCAGCAAGTATGCTCCAACGGCTCATATAACCTCTCTTAATGTGTGCACACATATTAGCAGCTTGGTCAATGGTCCGAGTACGCCGTTGTTTGAGCACGCGCTCTGATCATGTACTGAACACGAGTGCCGCGTCAGCATTCGGCGACGACTCGGATTCAATCCCACGCTTCGTGACCAAGAAATGGTGACCGCCAATGCTGCTGTGATGAACTTTTGAGTAAGGTTTATTGTGCACATCATTTAGACTAAGGCCGTCGAATGTCTACAAAGTACCCCTCTCATAAGGTCCGCTCAACCAGAGGTGACGTTGCCATTGGGCTTTCTGGTTCGTGGAAGTTGGTGGTGGAAGTATTCCATGTTAACGCCCCGAATAAAAAAATGAAAGAAAAAGGTTTTCCACACACCATTTATACGCAGCTGTCCGCCCGTCTTGCATGGCGTAACTTCTTGTAGGGGCATTTTGCTCCTACCCCGGCATTGGAAGATGTTGCAATTATAAGCTAATACGCCTCGTTTTTAAAGCTTGAAATGTTTTTTAAGCCTACCCCTGATTCCAACATTTTGTCCGTCCGTCCGCGCCTTTTAGCGAAATTTAGCGGGAAATGTCGCGTCACGTGACGTCACATGACGATACGTGACATTATGCGTCCTATACACCTTGGGGAAATAGACAGCCCGTGACTTATACGTCAACTCAGTTTTACCGCTAAATTTAGTGGGACTATTCTCGTCTTCTGGCCAAAATATCGATTCAGTTTAGCTAATGCCCCTGAATAAGAAAGGTAGCGACATCTCCTTCTTCTTCTAGCGCGCACACCTTTATCCTTTTGTTTTCTGTTTTACCATAGCCTCCTCTATACGGAGAAAGCCTGGCACATCGACAACGGAACAATAGGGCGCGCGGCCGCAGGAAAAAGGAGAGGAGGAGCGCGCCGAACGGTGACCAATATGGTAGCGCAGAGCAGAAAAGGCAGACCTAGACAGCGGGCGCTTGGGTCATGAGCGGCCGCTCCCCGAACCACGCTTGTTTTTGTGTTTTCGTCACCGTCGTTTTCGTGCTCCGGGAGAAACGGGCGCGGCGATTCGAAAGGGCGCAGGGAGAAACGGGAAAGGGTGGACGTGAGTTTCTCCTCTCCACGATAGCGACAAGAAAAGAGAGAGAAAAAGAAAAGATTGTTTCTGCGTTTGGCCGCTCGCTCTTTTGTGGCGCTAGCAGCGAAGGTTCTCTCCGCTCCCGTTTCTCCACCCCTCCTTTCCCATTTACGGCGGCCGTCTTTTCACGCGACGCGCCAGGCTTTCTCCGTATAGAGGAGGCTATGGTTTTACACTCGCGCGTCGACTGTAGCGCCGCCTGGATCGGCCCAAGCAGCAGACGGCCTTCCAATACTTGAGTCAGAGCGCAGTCAATGGCTGAAAGACACGCAAATACATACACACAGGCTAAAAGCGCACTGTCACGGTCTACCAGCCTCGAAGGATATGCTCAAAGAAAGACGATCAAAGCCGTGACTTTGCACAGTCGGCGTTATTTGATTGGCGACATGAGCTCATAGCATGCACTGCACTCCGACAGCTAAGGCATTCCTTCTCCCACCTCGCCCCTCATGCTCATTCTTATTGTTATATTTTGCTCTTTCGCGCTCGCGCGTCGACGGTAGCACCGCCCGGATCGGCCCAAAGATAGCAGGCGGCATTCATCAAAGGATGTAGCTACTTTTTCATATAAAGGAGCTTTAAGTTTACCATCTAATTTTATCAGAAAATTGAAGTCACATGACCTATACGAACAAAAATTCAGTTCCCCGCTAGCTTTATCAGAAAAAATCACGTCTTGTGACCTAGACACCAATCCAGTTCGCCCGCTAAAAGTTTGGTGGGGGTGATCGACGTCACGTGATCTGACACGATGTGACCAATACACTCATTCAGTTTTCCCGCTAAATTTAGCGGGAAACATATACGTCTCGTGACATGTATTAATGAACAGATAAAAGCAGGTTCTTCACTACCGTAACGAATGTTTATTGTCTTCCGAACGATTGGAACAATCGCTCCTAAAAAACGGCATTTCATACATCAAAGGACTTTGAAGGTGAAAATCGCTGCCAATTTTCTTCTGTCTCCCCATATTTATAGCAATTCAGGGTATAATATTTTATACTTTTCTGTCTGCCATACCCTATACGAACTACATAAGACTTAAAGTAGCGGTTTTGAAACATGCTTTCGCAGAACAAGCGCTCCTGCAAAAACGGTGCGTCTCAAACGCAGGAGCGCCAGCTTTCCTGCGCTTGACAAAAGGTACTCCTCATGCGCTAAGCCTTGACTTTGAATTGGAGAGTCTTAACGCAGAAGAGAGAAAGCTGAGAACAAAACGCAAGTCCTGCTATAGTTCGTTGCAACTCAAGAAGAGAGGGCGAGGGTAAGACGAGTTTGGCTGGAGGAAACAGACGGAATGCTGGAACGCCGACGGCTGCCATTTTGTTGGTATCACTTGCAACGCTGCGACGTTACTAAAAAAAAACTTTTAGAAAAATTTGAAAGTTTAGGTAGTCTAGGAATATTCAGGGGCTTAATTTTAATGTGAGTAACGCGTAAAAGGTTAATTAGACTTGCCTTTGTATACATTATGCACAAATAAAAAAAAGCCTTAAATGAACCAAGATTAATAATTTTATATCATGTAGTTGTACAATCTCCTATGTGAGAAAAAAAAACAAGCCTAATTCAGGAGTTATATAGAACTAAAGATGCGCACATTTAGTAAAAAAAACATATATCGTAAAAATGCGTTGAATTGTTGACTGCGTTAAATACTCGTACACACTAGGTACCATCGGAGGAAAATAAAATACGAACAGAGGAGTGCGTGGCTCGCGGTACAGGCGGCGGCACCTGGAAGTTAGCCTAGGGTCGAGGGTGTGTTGTCTGCTCCGATGTGTATACAAAGTATTTGTGTATACGCCCCTTGCTTGGGCGCTTTCCAAGCTTCGGCTGCTTCGGCATTGCGCCTCTTTAGTGCGCTGAAAGCTATCATTGCTATCTTTGCTACCTCGGCGCGTGCGGCGTGAGGAAGCTCGCCGCTAGCAGCAGCTCGAGCGCGCTCAGCCAGCGCGCGCTCTAGCTGCTACTGGCGGCGAGCTTCCTCGCGCTGCACGCGTCGAGCGACCAACGATAATGGTGATAGCATTCAGCGCACTAAGAGGTGCAATGCCGAAGCTTGGAAAGCGCCGAGTGAGGGGCGTGTACACATCGGAGTAGGCAAGACACCCCTCACCCCTAGGCTAACTTCAAGGCGGCCCAGCCTGTACATCGAGCAACGCGCTCCTCTGTTCCTATTTCATTTTCCCACGATAGCACAAAGGTTACACATAAACCAGAATGATAATTTGAATGGCACCATTTCGATGGTGTGAAACCTTGCATATTATCAGCGATCTCATATCCCTTGTAAGGTTATACCGGTTTATGTGTGCCGCCAAACGTTGGATATGATATAGCTCAGTATAGTAACAATTTAAACTAATATCAACTTGTCTGCATCCAGAGAAATTATGCAAACAAACATGCCACTGCGTAAACCACGCCAAAATCACTCACACTCGGTAAACAAATATAAACAAATTGCATTCCAGTTCAGCATTAAACATATGCGAGGGGTTAACTAAATCAATGTAGAGCACATAAGAATTCAAGACCAGTATTCGGCGGATGGCCCATTAGCAACCTAGCAATACAGCTCTGAATAATGAATTCATAAATAGCTGCTGAATTTACGGTGCACACCCCGGCGACACCTGGTGCGCGCGCGACGCTAGCCAGAAATCGTGCGACGACGATGTTAGCGGTAATTATTACTACGAGTAAAATGATAATATACGTACCCAGATGCATAATATTTTCAATACTATAATATTTTTGTTTTACAGCTTGAACATATTGTGTACTTGAGTTCCTATCGTACAAGAGATGAAAAATAACTATTTGTAGAAATTTTGTTTACACTCAAGACGTTTTGTATAAATTTATGGCCGAACAATAAGGTCGATTAAATATGATCTACGCATTACCTTTCATGATCAAAAAAAAGATTATAGTAACATAATTTTTGGTTGTTATGTATTCAGTCTATCTAAAACTCATACTTTAAAAATATGAAGGGTAACCAAAAGTAAATGTCAATTTATCAATTAGCAGTTTGTATACCTTCAGATTAGCCAAAATTATTTCAGCAATATGAGATAGACTTTACTTCTTTGTACGAACGCGTAGCTAGAATTGAACAAAAACACTTAACAGTTCGCACATTTTCAAATCATATAATTTTAAGCTATAAATAGGTTTAACTTTAATTTCTTTTTGTGTCAAATCCAAGCCAGGAAAAAAAAAGCGTTGAAGTTTTATCTTTTTTACCTTTATGTAGGGTAATTAAATTAAACCTGACAAAATTGTTCTTCGCTGTTAAAAAAAAAAAAAGGCACACTGCCTTTCAAAGGCCCAATACCACTCAAAATAAATTAGACAGAGGGACGTCATTCTTAGCGACTAAACTGTTTTTCGAGGCTATGTTTCAAACACGAGATTCTGAGCACTAGTACTCTGATATACGTGCTAGTATGAATGTGCCAGGTATGCGCAAGCCTAATATTTATGAAGATATAAGAAGGTTTACATTTGTAAGTTCATTTTGTGAGCCCATTTTGTCAAATCAACTCAAGTCAGCGACTTATGTCTGTTTTTCGTAAACGACCTTTTCTTTTTTTGTTTCTTTGTACAGAGTTAAGTGTCGTTTTCACCTATTTTCTCCTGGCCTAATGTAACGATTTTTTTTTTCTTTTTCATTCGCGGCCTGGGCATTATGATCCCATTCAAGTTTTTAGTTAGTGCAGATTATACACCGTAATGCTGCAAAAATAGACATTTCGGCGTAATACGCCAATATAGAATGGAGAACATAACTTCTGTGGTGTTATAAGTGACCAGCGTCGTATATGAATTATAATATTGAACATACGTAGATCATATATCGAAGATAGATCAAATTAACCATGCTGATCGGATGGAATAATGAGAGTTTTAGTAGATCGTCCGCTGCAAAAAAATGAAAGACGTTAACAAATCTCTGTAACGCGAAATTAGAGCACAGCTCTTGAGGAGGAGGAGGGGAGGGTACGGAGGGGAGGTGATGTTCCTTCTCCCCCGTACCCCTTCGTCCTCTCCTCCTCCGTTCTCCTCCCCTGCTCCTCGTCCTGCCCTCCTTACCTCTTATTCCTCCCCTCCTCCTACTCTCCCTCGCCTGCTCTCCTCCTCCTCCTCCCATCCTCTTCTATCCCATCCTCATCCCCGTTTCCTCCTCCGCCCCCGTACCCTACCCTCCTCCTCTTCCATACCCTCCCATCCTCCTCCTCCGCACCCTCCCCTCCTCCCTATGTTTCCCCGCTAAATTTAGCTGAAAAATTGGCGCCACGTGACCTCAACAGCATTTCAATTCGTGGGAAATTTAGCGGGGAATTAAAAGGCTGTTGAGGTCACGTGTCGTAATTTTTTCCGCTAAATATAGCGCGGTCACGCCGACGCCGCGAAACACGGAAACGGGTGCCTGCGAGCTGTGTTCTAAAAAGTGGGCCCCAGCTGGCGCGTGCTCAATAAATGCTTCAAAATGAGTGAGAACACGAGCTCCCGCTAGCAAAACGTAGCTCTAGACACGGCCGTGCTCTAGAATACGATGTACTGAAACTCTCCAAGGCTAGAAAGCCCCCAAAAGACAAAATCTTTAGCGTCGTCGGGTTTAGAACTCCATGTCTCCTGATAGACCCCACCCCTTTCGAAATTCCCATGCCCATTGTAAAAATGCCTGAAGCACTGCACAATGGCGGAACAAGCGACACCACAAAAAGTGAGATTCTACAATTAATTAAGCTAAAAATGAAATGGTATTAGTATAGCTTCTAGGGTTCTAAGATTGGCGGTATCTTGTGGGTCCTTCATTGTGCAGGGATTCTACAGCTTCCATCATAGGGCACCCTTTGAAAGGGCTCTTTAACTGTGTCACACCAACCTGTCTTCATGGCGCTTCCTGTCTGTCTTATGAGTGCACTGAAGGCAATGTATCCGATCAAAATTGATCTGGAGGCACGTACCGCCGCGTGGAACGTGGTACGAAAATGACTGGCACTTGGTACGCGCTTGTTCTGCTCCAGATTTTCTCTCAATTAACTAAAGGGGCGAGGAAGGCGAGTTGGTTCATGATTTATAAGATTAGAGGTGCTAACAATAGAGAAGAACAAGCTAGAAAGACGAACAGAACGAGCAATTAATATGAACTGAACATTTATTAAAAAAAGAGCTAAAGCAAAAAAAAGTAAAATGCACACAGTCAACTAATGACGTCACCCATCGCCACGTGTCCTTAAAGCCAATCATTTTTTGGTGCAGAAAAAAATTATGGCTGGCGTCAGCTAAAATACGGAAGGCTGCGTTAGCGAGCCATCAATGTTTCTGCACCGAAAAAAAAAAATTATTTTATTGACACGTGACGAGTGACGTCATTACTTGACTGATTGTTTTTATTTCGTCGTTTTTTTTCTCGTTGTTGCTTGAGTTGTTTTTAATAAAGTTCAGTCGATAGTAAGCGCTCGTCCTGTTCGCCTTCCTTACTGTCCTTGTCTATAGTTCCCGCCTTTAATTTTATAAGTTATCTCAGTGTTTGTACCACCACGTGTACATGCACGCTTTCCTGCTAATAAGCTTTAAAGTACGATATCAATATCTGCGGGAGTCAAGGGCCAAGAGCCAATATATCACGGGCCATTTTCACCTACTTACTAGGTTTCTAAAAAGGAAATAATCGAACAGATGCAGATAAAAAAAACCTTCGAATAAATGATTCCGTACAATTCATTCATCTGCATATTTCTTGTTATTTCTTCGTTTAAGACCACGTAAGATGATGCAAATGCCATGAAGATCGTATGCGACATCGTTTTTGGGAGAGCATATCTTGCCAAATATATAGTCGGCTCGATCTGCAAAGCGGCCACTCTGTGCTCGGCTTGCGAAACACCCGTTTTTTATATCTGTTTAAAGCGGTGTTTTTAAAGGGGCATTCACACGGGGATGTTTTCGGGAAAGGGTGCGCGCAACGTCAGCGATCGGCAGGACTTCTTCTCCCGACTCCAGCATTCATACGGACGTTGGGGTGCACAGAGGCATGTTGGTGTTATCAGAAGCATTTAGCGGTGGCACTCTGAACAACAAGGCTCGATGCACTCTGGCCAAAGTGAAAAGAAAAAAAAAATAGGGGCGTACATGTAACGGAGGTATGCGATTATGGAGCCGCATTGTTAGGCACAGAAGGCGATGAACTGATTCCTGCTGAACAAAGAGGGTTCTTGAAAGGGTGGATGCAACACGGAGGAAGTGAAATCGAAATCCAGCAGTATGAGAAGCTGCTTGAGGACGACATGGATGAATGTCGAAGGGTCCTTCGGGTGCCTCGAACGCTTCAGACGACATGCGCAATGGACGGATGGATAGATGAATGGTAAGGGCTATACCCTTCGTGACGGGTGGCAGCTTGCGCCACCTAGGCTAACAGGCTAGGTAGCGCAAGCCGCAACAAGTTAAGCGATCCCGATACCACTGCCGGTGTCCCGCACAGTACTGTGAAGTGGTAAATTTGCAAGTTGTAAAGTTGTAAAGTTGTAACGTTGTAAATCTGTAAAGTTGCCGGACACGAGATCAAAATACCACCAATCCTGAAGATATCAACCGCAAAAGCGGGGACGTTTTGTGCAGCCCGTGCAAAAGTTCCCCCATCCCCCTGGGGTGTCTACGTCAGCGCGCCTCCGCATAAAGACGTGACGTTGTTTTCACGTGATACACGTCCCTGAGAGAAAAAAGGAGCGATTTTTGTCCCGTGCGAATATTCCTTTACAGGCTTCTTCAATCTGTCCGCGTAAAATAAAGTCGTTATTCTCGCAGCCTGTACGTCTGATTGTCGAAATCCGTTTTTTTTTTTAGCTTATATTTACAGCAGCGCATCCACGTGTGCTCCTGAGAGTACACGGAACTTAAAAAGATGTCAACATTCAGCTGTAATATTGATCCTTTCTTGGATATAAGAGTCATTTGTACTTTCGTATGCATGCTGCTTTCAAGGCTAAGTTTATTTATTTATTTATTTAACTACACTACAGGCCCCGCTAGGGCCCCGGCAGGAGTGGACGTGTAATACATAGTACAGGATATAATGAAAAAGGGAAAACTTCAATACAATGAAACAATACTCTACACAAAAAAATAGCAAAAAAAATCAAATCAAGCCATCAGGTTTGTAGAGCTCGTACATGTTCATGAAAGTCATCCGGCGATGAGCTGTCGACGATCTCTTTAGGGAGTCCATCCCAATCAATTATTGTTTTTGGAAAAAATGAGTTTTTGGAAGGTGTTATTGTTGCTGCGATATAGTTCCAGTAATCTACCGTGATTGAATCGCGTGTCACGACGTAAAACAGGTGTTAGGTAGGGGGAAACGCCAACGTTCAGGTGTCCATGGTAAAACAAGTATAACTACTTGAGTCTCAAGTGTTTTCGAGGTAAATGAAGGTAATGTAATTGAAGTGTGTCTAACATTTGTGATGAACTGTCTAATCGCCGGAATTTATTTCAAATGTATCGTGCTGCTAGTTTTTGTATTTTTTCTAGTTCTTTGGCGTTCCTTTGTGTGTATGGGCCCCAAAGCACGCCCGCGTACTCTAAATGTGGCCTTACTATTGTTCTATAAGCGCTAAGTTTAACAGAGGGCGGGCTAACGGGAACTTTCTTCTTAGAGACCACAGAGTCTTGAGTGCAGTGGAGCACACATTGGAAGTGTGAGCGTTCCAACTTAAGTTTTTAGTAATTGTAATATCGAGGTATTTTACTTGCGTTGATTCCCCAAGCCTAGCGCGGCC